TACCAAAAGATGAATCTGAACCTTTGCGATGGAGAATCTGCGACACAATGGGTTTACAGCCACATAGAGAAAATGATTGCGCGAATATCCTTAAGGCAATAGATGGACACGTACCAGATAGATTTAAGGTTAGCTTTGACTGCATCTTTTCTTCCATTCTTGTTGTTTGTTGTTGTTGTTTGTTGTTGTTGTTGTTGTTGTTGTCGTTGTTGTTGTTGTTGTTGTCGTTGTTGTTGTTGTTGTCGTTGTTGTTTTGCGTTGCGTTGCGTTGCGTTGCTACATTGCATTGCGTTGTGTTTTCGGGCTTTCTTTCTTTTTTTCCTTTTACTTCAGGTCTTTCAACTTTGAAATGCTTAAAATATGTTTTTTTTTAATGCATTTTAATTAATTTTTTTCTTTTTTTGTTTTTGTTCAAAAGTTCTCTGAGGAACAGATTAATCAAGGCACGCCTAGTTACATAGCCCATAGCCCAACTAAAAGACAAAGCTCATTGTGTTGCTATAGTGATCAATGCCCAGGGGCTTGAACAAATGGACGATGACGTAAAACAGAAACTGAAAACTCTGAGAAGGGAACTTGGTGGTAAATAATATTATATTTTCTAACCACGACGTCCGCCGGTGATGACGTCACGAATGTCGCGGCACGCAGCTACAAATATACAATTATTGGTTGAGGTAAAGCGTAATATCGTAAATTATCAAGAACAAAGCCATGTTATCTGCCGAAGCCTTAAGCTGAAGTGGATGAAACGGCCTAGGGGCATTATAGAGACCATACAAACCCTCTCTTCATTTGCCTCAATATTCTAAAATTTCATGATCTTGTACATTACTGCTAATTTTATGTATGATTTCCATCACGGTGATCTCCCTAATGCCTTCATTGGTTTTTTTCTCGTGTACCAATCAGAGACATAGTTATAATACTAGATTATGATTTAGCAAAATACACTGATTCCATTGTCATTCTATTAATATTTACCTTAACTGTAGCGGAGCTCCCGCGCGGGCCCAAGGGCCGCGCGAGCGGAGCACCATAGGTATAGAATATGGTAAACTATGCAACTCAGTTTTCGTGGTCATCGCATGGGAACCCTGTGCGTAACGCTAAAAGTGTCGCCCGCCAGCTGTACTTCGCGTTTCTGATTGGTCAAGCTTTCAAATCACACGTCACTTGGAAAATGACGACTTTTTTTAACGAGCTTTTTAACTATCATTTTTTTGTTAATATTGTAAAACGAAACAAAAAATTATATTGAAGAAAACATGGAAATAAAAAAAAAAATTTCGACACAGTGTGAAGATAGAGGTTAGGACATTTTCTATTGTGTTTATTTAGTGTAGATAACATAGCTACAATATTACCGGAAAATGAGCAACAAACTAGCATGACGAACGAGCGAAAAAAGTACTTGTTTTGTTTTTATGGTAAGAGTATTCGCAGTTCAATACATGTTATAAAATAATCATTTGAAAAAGCACTTTTTGAATTCCACAATTAAACAAATCCAAGAGATTTTTGACAAAGTTTAAAGCTAAATGACATTCCTAAAATTACCGGTAAACGAGCAACGAACTAAAATGACAAACGTGCGAAAAAAAGTGTACCTGTTTTGTTATTATGGTATGAGTACTTTCATTTTGAATTTCATTCAATAATTTCATATCTTTCTACAGATAATTTATCTAAATATTGAATGAGTTTTAAAATTATAAAAATGAGCTTGATTTTGTGTTGTTGTGAGATATGTTATTGTATAAAGAGCGGTACCTTGTCTTTCACTTTCAAAAGCTAAGAAAATATTAAAAAGCATTTCCAAATGCCAATTTACTGACAAAAAAAATATTTTGTATTTGCATTGCATTTTGCGTTATTTTCTATTTTGTCTCAGTTGTTCTTGTCAAGTATAAATGAATGTAAACTTATTAGTTTTTCAAAAACTTTTGTTGTTAACAAGATGAAAAATGGTAAAATTGAATTTTCAAATCTAGTAAGCTTATGTTTTCAAGCTTTTCGAAAAATAGTTTAGACTTTTATGAATGAAAATACGGTTCTTGTAAAAACATAAAACTTTTGATGTGGATAATTAACCAAACATCGTTATTAGTGTAAAAGAAGTAAAAGTAAGCTTATGTATTTTGCTCACCTTTTTTTTACCAGTTTTCAAGTCTGTTTCATAATCTTGATTTATCCATAAAAGTTCGGAAATCTCCAAAATTTCGATTTCAATGAAAGACATCCGAGGTAAATTTCACTAAACCTGATATTGTATTGGATTATTTGTAGTTATCTTTCGTTTTATAAGTAAAATTAACCAGGAATTCAAAGATTAAAAAATGTTGGCCATGGAAAACTATGTCGAAGAATCTTCCAAGAAAAAAAAAACTACCCCCGGGGGGAGGGGAGGGGGTTGGTGGTGAGTTGAGTGAATTCATTCAAATTGGGCTCCCTGTGACTTGCGTATCGGGAGCTCCGCTTTTAGGCAGTGCGTAATATATTTAATACTTATTATTACACTCCTGACCTATTGAAGTAATTGTACTTGTTTATCATTTCATTTCAATTTATCAATATTTTTTGTGTATATTAGGAGTACATCTCTTTTGTTCTTTTCTCATGTTATCTTTAATTTCTTAATTATTAAGGCCTTTTCATGTTTATCTTTATTTTTGGAGTATCTATTTGCGTATATGTAGTAGTTATATGATGCTATTGTGATTCTATTACCTTAATTATATTTATTACTACACTCTTGACCTAAAGGAATAATTGTAGCTAGATAGCTAATTGTGTAGATCATCCATGTGCTGTTACAATTAGCATGTGAAATTGAATAACGAATATTATAATAATATTTTTTTTAAATCAATTTTTGTAAAAAAATCAATTAAATACCTATTAACATGGGTTCTTGATAATTTACGATATCATGCGAAAACCGAATTCAATAATCATTATATTTTACATTTATTAATCTAAGAGACTACCAAAACACGACTAAAAATAGCTAGACTTCAATGTTGCAATATAAAGTTCACAAGATCAAAATTTACATTCATAGTTTTACCCTAAGGGAGTCCGACTTTATATTCAGCGATGGTTGTCGCTTTTGAATGAATAAATTTTCTTATAACAAACAATCGAACTTTGTTTTGCACTTCTTAATGACAATGGAAGTACCATTATTATCATTATCATTATTATATTATATTATTTATTATGAATTTTACTTGCAGCACCTCGTACATACATTTTGCTCACTCACATCGACGAGGCGTGTGAAAAAGTTGCCGAGCACGTGACCAATGTATATCACAGTACCGCCATCCACGACTTGGTTAGTAAAGTAGGAAATATGTTGGATGGTCTTCCCGAAAACCACATTTTTCCGGTAATGAACTATAAAAAACAAGTCGAATTGGAAGATGCCATCGATATCTTACTGCTTTGGCCCTTACGTCAGATGTTATGCAATGCTCAAGACTATTTGAAAGACCAAATGGCAAACCTGTCAAGACACGATAGTGCAACCGCCATATCACAACGAGGGCAACCAGTCATGCAAGCATCAACTGTCTGATTGACTCATTAAAAAACACTTGGTACATGAAAACTGAGAACAAGCAATTTGTATCCTTATTGGACTAACTGTGCTAGGTAATGTTTATTGTTATATAGTATAGATATGTCATCCATACGGTGTTTATTGTCTGTTCATAAGATGACATCTCTGCAGCAATAGGACTTGCAATATAGAGTGATTTTTAAGTTGTAAATATCATGGATTACTGTGGTGATCATGTTTTGAGAAAGTAATGATTCACACAGCTTTGTTTTGAAGGATTGATATGGGTTTAAATGTTGAATTGTAGGTATTTCCCCAAACAGAAATGCCATATGTTATTAAGGGATATATGAAAGAATAATAACGTTGAATCAGGACCTCAGTGGGAACATAATGTCTGATTTTTGAAAGTATACCAATACTTTTTGAGACTTTTTAGCCAAGTTCATGAATGTGCATTTTCCAATTTAGGTGTGGGTAGTCGAGAATTATGTCAAGATATTTAATACAAGAATCATGTCGTATCACTTTATTGCAAATTTTCAATTCAAAATTAGAAGCGAGACGTTTCTGGTGTGGATGAAAGATAACAAAACTAGTTTTGTCAATGCTTTTAAGGATAATTTATTGGCACACATCCAATTGTTGACTTTGATCAAATCATTATTTAATTTGCTTTCAAGATCAGAAAATTTTGTATTTTTCAGAAACAAATTTGTGTCATCAGCAAAAAGATAAATCTCAAGAAGACTTGAGCACGAATGGAAGTCATTCATGTAATTTAAATTAAGAATAGCAAGGGGCAAGGATAGAACCTTGGGGCACCCCGATATGATACCCAATTGAGGATGATACCCCTTATTATTCCATAATATTCTAATTTTTTTCAGTAAGATCAAGAAAATATGACCTAATAATATTTTTAGTAAGACCAAGAGAATATGAACTAGTTCATTTTCTCTTGGTAAGATGGTATGGTCGACAGTGTCAAACGCCTGGCATAAATCCAAAATTAATTCCACAACAATGGAAGCCCTTGTCGATGGCTTGTTTTATTTTATCAGTTAATAGAATTAATGCATGAGAAGTTGAGTGTTTTGGGCGAAAGCCAAAATGTTTTTATTATAGAATACAGAAAACTTCTCAAAATAGGTTAAAAGCCTATTGTATATGAGTTTCTCAAGAATTTTATTAAATACATAGTAGAGATTTGGCGGTAGTTGGAAACACATCAAGAGCAGAATTCTTTTTGTGAACTGGAACCACCTTGGCGACTTTGAATTGACTTGGAACTATGCCCAAGGAGAATGATTCATTGAAAATAATTTTTAGTGGATCTGAAATAATATTATTTAAACTTTTCAAGATGGTGACAGGAATGCTGTAGGAACCAACTGACTTAGATGGATCAATTGAATTTATTATCTCACCAATCTCAGCTGCTGAAACAGGAGAGAGGAGAGACTACTATTTAGAGGTTGGGTCAGAAAATCCTTATAAGAGGCTTCACATTTGGGTATTTCCTTTGCAAAGGATGAGCCTCTATTAGCAAAGAAGTTATTAAATTCATTTCTCGTGCTCATTAATAATTCATGAGGAAACCAGCCAATAAATTGGCTATTTTTGGGTCACATGATGTTACTTGAAACCGGGTAAAGTCATGTGAAAGGACTGAATTCAGTCTATAGTAGTCCTAGGACTGAATTAATTTTGTTCCAGTTACTCCAAGTCGAATAACAATGAGCATGAGAAGACATTTCAAAGCCTCCAATATCGGACTGGACGGGATTTCAGGTCCGCGCAATTCGGCTTCGGCTTCGCCTCGCACTAGAACTAATTGCTTGGACTTGAAATCCCGTCCAATCCTCATTCTCGGCTTTGAAATATTACTAGCAATACCTTTCGCATTTGTAATGGTATCATTGTCCCTTATTATCTTTGAAGGTAAGGTTGATGCTTTAAGTTTTAATGATATCAGTTGCCTAATACCTTTCCAGGTAGCCTTTGAGTTAGACGGGCTGTTCTTTAAATATTCAGTACAACATTTTTCTTTGCTAGACTTAAGCAAAAGGCTAAATTTATTTCTAAATTTCATATATCTTCCATAAGTATGGTCATTTCTATTCCTAAAGTACCGTTTATAAAGTTTGTATTTTATTGTGTATTGAGGTTCTTAGGCCTGGAGTGATCCAGGGTTTCATTTTGAATTTAAGAGCGAAGGTCCACTAATATCGAGCATCGGCCGGTCACGGTCAAAATTTCGATTTTGCTCATTTTTGGTTTGCTGGAAGGTACTACCAAGTAAACAAACGTGGTGTAGTTAGTTTTTCAAAAAACAGCTAAAATTCTGAGAAATCCGAGAAAGTCTGTTGGCCTAGCGGCGACCTCAAAAGTATGCAAATTTTCAGCTGAATCAAACAGGTTAAAAAACAACTAACGCATATACAGAAGAGGAAAAACATATGAAAACTATATGTTTATAAATTGATAGAAGAGATGTTTGAGACTTGATTGGGCATAAAATAACGGTTTCAGCTATTTATTGAAAGCGGTCAGATGATATTTAGAATTGAGTGGTATTCACACATAGACCTGACCCTTGCTACGCCAAAAACAATTAATCAAGTGCGCCAATTTTTTTCTCAATGAAACTCACGTCATGAACTATTTAGATGTTCTTCTAGAACATATCCAAAAATCAGTTTGTGTTATTGTATTTAGGGTTCATACGGAGGCCGTGAACATTTGGTATTTTCGACATATACCGTGACTGAAATCGACAAGTGTTTGTTGTTTCTGGTCGCTATTTTCTCATTGGTTTCTATTTCCATCCGGAATTTAGGCCCGAAAATGCATTTCCTTTAAAAAAATACCTTTTATTAGTAATTTGCTCGCCTCTCACCAATGCGACACGGGTTCGATTCCCTACGAGCTGGGACTCGTATGTGAGTAGAGCTGTTTGTTGGTTCTCTCCTGTGCTTCGAGGGTTTTCCGGGTTCTCCGGGTTCTCCTGTTTTCCTCCTTCCGCAAAAACCAACTTCTAAATTCCAATTCGATCTTGGGCTTTCACCTAGCATGGATCTCAGGGTTCCGTTCGTGATTGTCCCACTCTGTGATTACAGATGTTTAGTGTAAAATCGTAACACGAGCGAGTGCGGTGTTTTCCTTGATAAATTGATAATCTTCAAGTAGAATGACCTTTCCCCGTCCCAAAATAACACTAAAAGTTTGCAATTTGTGCCATCGATTCATCGCAAAAGATTATGAAGTTTTTCTTTTTAATGGAAGCTACAAAAATCCAACCCTATATTAGAAGTGCAAATACACTATAATTTGAAGTAAGACGAACGAGTTCACACGTGTGCCGTCAATGCATTGACAAGCTCAAAAAAAGAAGGAATCGCATAAAATAAACCCTTGAAATTGAAAGCTTCTTCGACGTTGGTATCATTTCCGATAGCTACAGCCGGTATTCCTAAATTACCTAGGGAAGAAACTTGGTCTTCCATTAAAGATTTTAATGGAGATATGACAACTAACACGCTACTTCCACGAGGTCTTCCATAATAGAGAACATCAGATACGTCATCGGTAAACACTGAACAGCGAGAAACTTCCCTTAGCCCGTTGGCAAATTTACGAACACTCGTCCCTTTTCCAAGAATGCTTTGATGGAATCTTGTTGCTCTTGAAAAATATTTTCTATTTCAAACTGATACTTTACTTCTAAAAACGCTCTAGTCCGAAGATCCTCATGAAAAGAAAACGCCATTTTGAAAACTAGGACGCTTTGCGCGTTCACATCCGGTTTGATAGTGTTATCCAATGGGAGTTTACGTTAGAATAAGCTTGGCTAACAGGCAATCAGAATCTATTATATATAATCGCGCAATTTGCGGGGGGTCCAGAACAAGCTTTTCTGGCGATGTTTCGCAGACGGTATTTACGAAGAAAATTCCGGATGTGACGCAGGCTATTGCTCAAGGAAAGATTCGATGTTTGAACTTGGAATTCTATAGATAATGCCGCATGGTATATTTTTGATTAAATGCTTTTCAATCTCTACCCAGAGTAACGTACATACTCATTTGAAGTTTTCCGCCAAACGAGAGATTTTTCCTGCAGCCTGTTTATATTTTTGCGCGACGCCGCATTGCACATATATAAGGGCTCAATGCTAAGTTTTAAGTTTTGGCATACAGGCCTAGTTACAAAAAAAATCGGCTAGAAAGATAAAAATGTCAGTTTCATCACACTTTATTTCAAGGACTGCGAAGCTCAGTAGCGTGGATGATTGAAAACCATTTTATTACCAATAAGACTGTGTATAAGGGCCACTAAGCAATGTCATACTCAATGAAACAAGTTCTACCGTGCACGCTATCGGTGAACCAATCCAATAGCTATTTAGCACTTAAGACTTATTTCGTTTTTGAATTCTCTCAGGAATGAACTAGACGCGTTTTGGTTTCGTTTCACGGATACATGGCGTGCAATCTAATGAGATCATATTTCCAACATTAATATTTACGCACTAAAATTGTCCTTTTTATTTATTAATGTTTTTACTGTGGACCTGTAACTTTTGGAAAACTTAAAGGTGATTTTTTTAAACACATAATTTGTACTAAAATACATTCGGTGTATTCGGCAGATTATCGATATCTTGGCCAATGTTTCAGTATAACGATTTCCTTGGCAATACTTATTTCTGCATTCCCTAACAATGATTTCTCCGTCCCGAAATTTCAGGGGAGGATCCTATAAGATTCAAATGAGGTGAGGCACCCCTGAAGAAAAGTAGTGTCATAGATATAACGACTCAGGGGGTAAACCAAACGTTTCGCCCATTAAATAGAATTTTGAAGTTTCCCTGCCTGAAAATTGAGGAGGGATGGGAATCGATGGGCCTTTCATACCTACTGCTATATTCACCAATGAAGCTGGTTTATATTGCTTCTCGTTTGATCAAAGTTCAAAGCATGGACTGAGAAAGGTCATTAATTTACCTACAGTCCTTACCTAACTTTTATTTAAAGGTTGTACACTATTGCGAGACAACTTCTTGACACGAGAAGCCAACTTTTGATGCCCCTTTTCGTTCTGACGACAGTCGTAAAGCCCCTCACCGACAGAGAATGCAAAGTGAGCGATGCATGTCATTCTTTTTAGCATTGTGGAATCCAAAAGTTCTTCGTCACCAGACAAATCGCGGTCTCCTAACAAATTGCTAAGAACAGAGTGCAGCAACACTAGGATCACAGGGCTTGTGCCTGAAACAATATCACGGAGCTGAGTTACCAAAAGTAATAAGGCATATAGCACGTATATTTTTCTTCCATCATTCATTTTTCATTCCTTCCTTAAAGACCCATTGCCACTTACCGTGATGCACCGCGTTCACAGATGAATTTCGTGGTCCATGAAATTCAAAGATTCATATATTGAATAATAACTTCATATTAAGTCCTTTTCCGACATAGCACTAAGGCACAAAAATGATTCTTTTACATTATTTTACGGCCTTAGGGACTATCTAAGAGTTTATTCAAAAGGTTGGAATTGTTTTTTCAGTTGTGACACGATTCAAAATGTAAACAAATTGTGATGCATCACGGTAAGTGGCAATGGGTCTTTAATTTATTTATCAATCCATGCAACCAACCATCCACCCATTCACCCATCCATCCATCCATCCACCCATTCACCCATCCATCCATCCACCCATTCACCCATCCAGCCCACCAGCCCTCCAGTCCTCCAGCCCTCCATTCGTTCATAATCCATTTCCTCTTTTTCAAACTCTCTTTTCTTTTTTTTTTTTTTTGCTTGAAAGTCTTAACTCATAAATACTTTATATTCGATTTCATCTGCCTTTGCATTGCATTCATTTTAATGTGGTCGATGATTCTAATTTAGATATTGGACAGCCGAGCTTTCAAAAAACGAAACGCAGGTAATGAGAAGTAATAATAAGCTTACCGTGCACTCCTCTCATCGCGTTCTCGATGTCTGTACCAATCCGTGAAGAAATGGTACAAAACACAATGACAGGTTGATCTCTATCATCTAGACCTCGGTTCCAGGATTTCTCCAAGAACCGCACACGTGACTTAAGTTTGCTTATAATATGATTCTCGATTTCATATGTACTTGATTGGTCACATCTCTTGACCAAAATRACTAGAAAAAATATCAAAGAACCAATTAATTACAATAACCGAACGAAAAAAAATGTATGGGAAACCATTTCTTTGCAAATATATACTCCATTATTTCAATTACATTTTCTATCAAATTCTCTCAACAACACTGGAGTCCAGTCTTTTTATAATACGATCTTCAATTTTACTGGTACTTTGTTGTTTGCATCTCTTGATCAAAAGTTCTAGTAAAATTTAATGGAAAAATGATTATATAGCTGAATGATGGTTGAATAAAAATATGCAACATTTAATGTGCCAAACGTTAAACGAGCAAATTAAATGTCAATTAGTTTTCCATTCTTTTCGTAGGAAGAATGTGCAGATTTGTTACAACTTGTCACAAATACCCCTTAAAACCACTAGAAATCGTATTTCCGAGGGTGTCAATTTCAAGTGTAACGTATTTTAATTTATAGGCTCCTTATAAAAAATTTACTTAAGAGTTATTTAACAAATAAAACAGCTTTTGTCGTGCTCCGTTCAGTAATAAAGCACGCAGGAAGTGGCGTAGGCACCAAAGAAGTGTAAGAAGAACAACGAGACGTAGGCGAGTGCTTCTCACACTTCTCGAGTGCTTACGCCGCTTCCTAAGTGCTTTATTACTGAATGGACCACGGGAAAAAACTGTTTTATTCGTTCTATTATATAGTTACTAATTTTATTTTGGTATTGAATTTATTTACGCAAAAAGAAAGACGCGGTCGCAGGATCTAGCAGCACTTCGCTCGCGCAGATGTCGTCAGCACTGTGCTCCTTTCACTAATAAAGAATAGTTTTCGACCAGCGCGAGCGTACTATCCTAACTATATAATATAACCCAATAATATATGATACAATAAAATAATAAATAATATTCGCAGGATGCATGCACAGCTCGCTGTAATAATTGTCCTTTTCCTTTTTTCAGAAGCATCCATGAAAAAAATTTACGATAATCTTTTGAATGGCCTTCTTTGGATTATCATTACATACGAAAAATAATAATTGGAAAATAATGAATTACATATATCGCCCTTTCACTAAAGAGCTCATTTGCTTCCATCATGAGATCCTCAAAGGGAATTATCACAGTTATTGTTTACTATTATAGTGCGTATACACCTATTTCAAAAAAAGGTTATCACAGGTGATAGGTCATTCTAAGATGGAAAAAATTGTGGGTAAAAGTCTAAACATTAATATTTAAGGTGTTTTAAACATTATTTTTTTCCTCATCAAGAAAATGGATAATGTTGTTGAAATATATACTAAATACTGCCTTAACCATTGGGAACACCTCCATTATTTATGTTTATTATATGTACCCATAATATATTTCCATCTTAGAATGACATATGACCTGAGAGTAACCTTTTTTGAAACAGGTGTAAAATTAAAACTAAAATTGAAAGCACTATAACATCGGAAACTTCTTTTAAAAAGTGAGGAAAACCCCACAAATTTAGATATTTTCCCCTTTTTTTAAGATGCATATTTGTCTTCATGACTATGCTGTTTCTCTCCCTATTTAGATTCAAAATAACATTCCACTAATCGAATGCTTTGACTATGGAGATTGGATTCCTATGACTGAAATGCATATTCATAGGGAATTGCATCTACAATTTGCCAAGGTAGGTACTGTCAAGAAATCATACTACTCTTAAACAGTTTATACTCGATCAACCGGAGCACCCTTGTTGATCTTTGCAGCTTTTGGGGCAAATGTTTAGTCAAGTATGTTTAAATAAAATAATAATAATAAAATTATTAATAATAAAATTATTTATTACCTGTTGGTGTATATTAGATGCAAAGGAACAAAAGGAGACAAATGTTTAGTATTTATTCATTTTCAATTGATTAAATAGTAGTGCCAGGTTTATTTGCACAAATCTAGAAAAATCTTAAACCTATTTATTTTTTTTATAGGAAAAGCAGACAACTATGGATATGTTTCACACAGACATATTTGAAAGGTACATGGTCAGACAAATTTGACAACATTATATTTCATGGGTAATCTTCCACTAGTAGATCACTCTTTTCACTCCCTCACCTAGTATCTCAATTATGTACAAATGACACTATAAACCAATGACTTGGTATTTATCTAATGCATTTGATCATATGCACACTCGAGTGATTCTCCAAGTACCAGTGCAATAGCAGGATTATCATCAAGGTATGTATATATGTTTATTATACTTAATGAAATGGAACTAGTTCCCTAACCTAGACCCTATTAAGTCATTGGGGGGGGGGGGGGGGGGGGGGGGGGGGGGGGGTTATGCAGTTGGGGGCTGGAAATAGCCCCTCTTCCCTAATGAAACCAGATGAAACACTCAGAAATAATAATAATAATAATAACATAAAAAACTTATGCATATCAAGGTGTCTCCCCAGTGTATAGTAATCTGTGGGCTAATGCAGGCTTGCACATTGATACCCAACAGGTCTACGATATTAAAGTTCATGAGCTTAGGATTCAATTTTTATGGAGCTGATCACATATAAGGTTACCATGGGAACACTACTTCAGCTATAATGAAGGCCATTCTTTTCATTAAAAATTAAAAACTTAAGTTTTCCAACTTGATCGAATCTGTTTAAAACTTTTTACACTGAAAGTATGTTACCTCGCCTTTCATTTGACACAATGCTAAAGCATTTGGTACTACAGAACTTTGAATTTGCCGAATAAAGAATTTCTGAATATTTTGACATTTGCTTAACCTTTATATGATAAAAAGAATATATACGAGATGTAATTCGAGTCCAATCCGAGGCTGAGATGAGACAAGACTCTAAACAGAGATTAGAATGTAATTCGAGTAAAGAATCAGAAGCTGAGACAAATTTCCACGGCACTACACAATTTCACTCACGGCAAAATACACAAAGCCGCGGCACAACACAGAATTGAATCCTTGAAGAGTAACACAGCCACCCAATGTTTAAGATGACAGGGCCGGGGGTACAATATTGTCGACAAAATCTTCCTTACCCCTGTAGCTCCCAGTGAAGCGTAATTGAATGGCGCCATTTTGTACTAGCCGTACGAGTGAAAAAATAATTCAAATTAATRAAATTTAATTTAATTTTGGGAAATAGAATCTCATCTTTTCCACAGCGTGTGCAAAAACGATCTTTCTCTTCTAATTCATTGCCACAAATAGTACAAAATGGCGCCATTCAATCACGCTTCACTGGGGGCTACAGGATGAAGGAAGATTTTGGTTTCTAAAATGCAATCTGATCAGTGGATCATTGAATGAGTCACGCGGGAGCCGTAACTTCAATGAAAAATTGTCTGTATGTCGCAAATAAGATAATTCGCATTCAAGGAGCGAAAAGGGAACATAATATGTATAATTCTGAAAATGAAATGCAGCTGCAGTAAACCATACAAACGAAATAAGGAGTTTTCTTGGGGAATAATGGTCATAAAAATATCACAGTAATATCAATGCTTTGATAATTTTAGCCGTCTCGCGAAAACCCCCTACTTTGAAAGTTAGATATTAAAATGTACATGTTATATTTGCAAGCCTAGCTTCATAGAAATAAAAATGTGGTTTGTGCGTGTGTGTATGTGTGAGAGTCTTCATGTAGAGAACGTTAGCTTCATGTCCATGAATGCATTGTCTGTGTTGGTGGCTGAAGTGTGCTTGAGTCAGTTCTCCGACTATACAAAGCGATGCTTCCATAATATTCGCTCTTTAAGGTATTCCATACATTTACAGTATAAGCGTACCTTCCTTCTCCTTCTTCTTAATGCAGCACCACCAAAAGATGAAAACTGAAAGAATGGCAACGATCACACTAGCTATAATTAGTCCTAACACTGTACCGTCCATCTTAATTCTCGTAATATCAATACAGGACGTAGAGCTTTCTGTTTTCGTGAACCACTGTCGAACAAACACTAGAAAGAAAATACAAATTGGTGTCGTTACGAACTTATACTCGCAAAGAAAGGCGAGAGAGACAGTTGACCTCTGTAATCAATTCACATTTCCAAGAAAGAATTGCATTTTGGCGTGGCGCTCACACTTCCAAGAAATCTTGAATAAATTTAAAAACAAAATATAAGTGTAATAGTCCGTAAGGATCGTGCAAATTTAGAAACAGATGGTCAGGCTACCTCACGAATTTTGCTCAAATTTGATATATGAACTTGGTTTGGGGCCCTAAATATGAAATGGATAATTTTTGTCAACAATTAATTTTACGACAATATTCGGGGGGGGGGGGGGGGGGAGGAGTAGTCTCCCCCACAGTTGCTTTCAGTGTCGTCACGCAACGCTTTCTCCCCTGAGTAGCTACTCAGGGGAGAAAGCGTTATGTGACGACACTGAAAACGGCTTGGGGGAGACTAGGGGCGGAGGGGGTTGATCAGTTTTGTGTCCGTGGTTGGCTTGTTACAACGCAGTTTAAGTACTGTTTTTTGTTTGGTATCAAAATGAACCCTGATTTACACTATGTATTTCCTTGTGCATAGTAAAAGCTGGGAAATATTTAAAAAGGTTTGTCAAATGACTCCCATATGTATAGGTACTATTAGCATTTGTAAACAGGTCTAGAATGTGAGGTAAATATAAAAGCCCTTATCTCCTCTGGTATGTCGATTTGGAAACTGCAGTTGCTGTTTACATGTTCGATTATAGCTTATTCTATTTCTGAAATAAAAAAAACTAGGCAAGTATTGATACTTTGCTGAACGATATTGCCAAACTTGAGTAACATAAGCTTTTTTATAGGCTCGTTCAGCAGCTCGTAGATTACAAACACATTAGCCTCCACCAAAAATATTCCAAAAAAAGTATTATTCTAATACTTTTCTAACATGGAACCGCAGGTAGCCCAAACTTGGTTTCTGTGGTGTCATGTTATAAAGAAAAGTATAAGCCTTTTCATAGTTTAAGAATCGATTCCACTGCGCATGCGATTTTATCCCGAATTTCTCACCTTCTTTTGACTAAACCTTCTTTTGTTCTTAATTAAACAAAAGAAGGTGAGAAATTCGGGATAAAATCGCATGCGCAGTGGAATCGATTCTTAAACTATGAAAAGGCTTATTGGGATTCATCAAAAATTTCAATAGAATCATTGAAACGTGAAATAAAGCCTCGAAATTTTACTCGATCATTGAGAAATAACACTTCTTTCGCTCTGTGTGGTTATTTTTTTGAATTTAGCGCGTTTTGAGGAATTTTTCCCCCACCAGTAAGAAATAATAAGTAAGTAATAATATATAGGTCATAAAGTTACTAACTTCAATCCCTGTATTCTTTTCGGCTCAATTAATTTGCTCGATTTGTATTTTTCAAAAATGGCAATAGAAAAATAAGAGAAAAGTATTTCCATAGCGTGCTTAAACAGTTTATCAACAGAGAGTATATTGCCATTAGTGAAATAAGGACGGAAGGTATAAATTCATGAGGTAGAGAGAGTGATAAGTTGCCGTGGTGGATATATATATATATATACATTTTTTTTCTACAACAGCCACTCCCCATGCAGGGCCCGTCCGTGAGGTTCCCTCCACACGCACTACCACTACATTCTATATTTATAACATACAACACTCAACTCACATGTGTTGCTTCTTACGGAGGGAGGAAACCGGAGATCCCGGAGAAAACCCTCGTGGTAAGGGATAGAACAACACATCAAACAAACTCAACTCACATATGATCCAGTCTGAACCGGGGCTCGAACCCGGACCACAGTGGTGAGAGGCGAGCGGTAAACCACTATGCCACCCATGATTATTTATACAATATGCGCATTAGAAATAATAAATATTATTAATATTTTAATTTATCTGTACCTTCCGAAACCTCCCATTTTTTCCTATATATAAAGTCCTACATCTCTAAAACTAATTTAGATATCACTTTCAAATCTTTGCAAACCATTAAAAATTTCATTTTCAACTATTATACCCTTTTCTCAAAAATGGCCGCCAAACTCGGTTGGGAATAGGGGCA